AAAATAACACACAGAGGAGGAGAAATAAGGGCCGACAGAGGATATATGGCGTTGTGTCATTATTATTTGGAGCATAGAAGCAAAACGTGCGTTGTGTGAGAAAAACATGGTGAAAGAAAAATATCTAACCAGGAGTGTGTGAGCTGCCAGATCTTTGCTGACCGGCTTGTTTTTCTGATGCATTAGAGTTCACATGTGAGCCGCAGCTTCAGTAGCTGCTGATGGCTCTGATGGGTAATTGATAACAGCAAGCAATCTTTCACCTTTGTGCACTTGGGGACTGATACTCACAGGCTCGTGCCAACAAGCAATTCGGACGAGCCGTGGATGAGTGGGTAAAGATTATGCAGCGCTGCAGGGTTTGTTTATACAGAGGCACGCAGACAGGCAAAAAATATGAGCTGGCCGGCTCCTTAATGCCTCCCAAAAAATCCACTTCGGTTTTGAAATGTGTGCATAGGTTTACTTCAGTATTTGAAAACAAAACAAGGAATTCTTCAAAATAGCTTTACCAAAAAATGGAATAGTTCCATTGATTAACATAGCGCTGAATTCCCAGTAGTTATAGTACATGTGGATTTAGAAATGGGATGAGGAGCCTCCTTGAGCACCTTATTGATCCTGAAGCCCGTACCTTACCATTTCATGAAAAATCTATGCAAGTCAGCATCAAAAAGCAGAGCTCAATAATTTGTTCCCTTCCCTGACATCCCCTAATATAACAATGCACCTCCCGTTATTTATTTTTTAATACCTCAGGTATTAGTAGGCTTAACTTTATCTGTCCCTCTTCAAAAACAGAAAGCTAAGCTGCGATCTCCCGCAAGTCTTCTTTGTTTAAGGCTGAAGTGGTTTAGTCATTGCAATCTGTCAGTGTTTGACAGAGCTGTCAAACTGAATTCCTCCAGGGCCCCTTCTGCTTCTGGCTTTCCTTCAAACTGAGCTCTTAATTACTTAATTGGTCTAATTATTTGATTAGCAGGAAAAAAATGAATATTGTTTTATAGACGTCCAAATACTTTATGGGAAGACCACACCACCTTCAATTTTTTTGTCTCTTTGAAAGCAAAAAATTAGGATGTAGTTGTTTCCCAGCTGATCCAAATCTGAGACCACCAGAGTTTCTTTGAACTAAAAGGAGAATCTGCTAAATTAAACCCCACCCCACCCCCTGCCACAAAGACAATTTAATTATCCAAATTGCCAATAGTGTGGCATTATCACGTGTTATGGTCTGTGCTTAACTGTCTGCATCTGGATATCCCACAAAGCTAAGCTAGTAGATATTGATCTGTCTGCTCCAGTTTGTGCTTGGTGTTTAACCCCAGTTGTATTGTCACTCAGATAAGGCCACTTCTGTTCATGTGGAAGGTCGCTTTAGATGAAGCAGTTTGGAGTCATAAGATCTTTAACAAATGGTTCTGGTTAATATAAGTTTCAGAAATAGCACTATTTGCAAATTATGCACTTCTAGGCAACTAGGCCTTTGCTAATGTAAGCTTAAGTGCAAATGATTATAAAATGAGCACAAGTGAGAAGAAAATACTGTTAATGTTGGATTTGGAAGCCTTATTTTATTTTACATAACAGAAAGCTTTTTGCTAGCAAGCTTTGATAACAGGGAGGTTAGCACTTTTTTTTTCTTTGCTGCCAAATATGTATAATTTAGATAAGATTAATTGAATGGCCTAAGTGTGCAGCGCTAGGCGATTTGTACAGAGAACTACATAATCTTTGTTATTCCTTGTGAACAGCTTCTCAGAGTTTTAAATTTATGCTGTAGGCTTGCTTCAGAAATTGTTTTAATGTAATTTTTTTTCTGGGAACAAGATGTCTTGCGTCCAAAAATAGTATGCCTTCAAAAGAAAATCAAAGCAAATATCAATCGCTTCATGTGGATAAACACCTAGGACTTTTTAATAAAAATGGAGAGAACTCTGAATACAGACTCTTACAACAAGAAGCTATCGCAGTGATCGGTTTACACTGAAAAACGCTCTTGGGAGCTTGGTTGATAGACTGAGTATCTGTCTTGGACAGTTGTGGAATGAAGGTTCTTACTGTTTGAACGTAAAAACAGACTAGTGTGCTCGCTCCAAGATTAATTAGGAGGGCTAATTGTCACAGTGCTTGGGCCTCACACTGTATTTAAGCTGCATTTGTTTTATGGACAAAAACTTTTTTTTTTTTCTCTTATCAATTCTGGTATTGTAGGTGATGAATGATGGTGTACTGTCAAAAGGGTATTCTCAAGAATGAAAGAAAAAAAGGTTATGTGGATATGTCCAGCTCTTTAGTAAGTGAAAACATTCTTTTATACTGCAGGTCTTAAAGCGTAAATAAAGCAATAAAGTGAAATCTCTACTGTTTTGTAGAATTTGCAGATCCGTATCAATTACGCTGGCTGTTTTTATAGATGTGTCATGTTTTTAGATCATATACTGTATATATTTTGGACAGTAAAAATAGCTCATTTTGTTTGTTCAGAGAGTCTTATATATCCTAATAAGATGTCAAAATGCTACAGTGTAAACGAAAGCCAGTGAACGTGTTCAGGTACAGCGTGTGACTTTAAAGCATCCCACTGTAGTACCGGCGCCAGACTTTTAATGAGTTGTGTGTCATGGTGGTGAAAGAAACGCGCACCAAGTGATTCCAAGGAGTTCTGCACTGTAAGGCCAGAGCGAGGCTCCCGTTGGAGACGGGAGACGTACCATCGCGTGCCCCCGTGCCACACACAGCCTGCCCGGGGCGGGGGGGGATTGGGAGCTGCTCGACTTGAGCTCAGCTGTACCGCACCGCAGGCGCCCTTGCCGTAAGAAAAAACAAGATGAGAAAATAGAAGGCCTGTGAAGAGAGAGACAGGCCGGGCTGTGAATTCCGAGAGAGGAGAAGGTACGGCCGGGGTGGGGGAGTGGGCCCCGTGTGCGTCTCCCTGCCGCGCGACGTGCCGCCGAGAGCCGGAGAGCGAGCGGGGATGGAGGATGCGGGGATTTTGAGCGGCGTGTCTAATTAAAAGGTGCTGTCAGGGGCCACGGTGCAAGGCTGTTTGGAGCCCCCCCCCCCTCTTTCCTTACAGCCCCCGAGACTCGTCCCGGGAAATGATTGATGAGCAATCACAAGATAAACAAGAGCCAGGCCCGGGAGCGGGGATGGAGATTGATGTGCCGGGCATTCAAAGTAAAGCAGGAGAAGGGAAAAAAGAACCAAAAAAAACTGTTGTGTTGTGTTGTGGTGGCTAGGGAAGGGGGGGGGGTTGGTGTTTTTAAGGAGTTGTGTGTGAGAGGGAGATACTGAGAGAGAGAAATTGCTGTCATATTTAACCTAGAGCCATGCTTTGTCTCAGCTATTACTTCGTTAACGAGCCTTGACCAGTTCTTGGATGGCTAAACCTTCACCTGCCGTAGCTCTACCATCTCGTGAGCTTCATCTGCCCAGCTCCTAAGAGCCGAAATTTGGGTTTAGTGTTGCACAGCGGCTCTCGTCTGGGACTCCCAGGCTGTGGCAGCTGGAGTAGCCCCTTGGTGCGTGTGTGTGATCGTCTCACATCTGAGGAGCTCAGCTTCAGAAATCCTTAGTCATTAATTGCATGAGTAACTTTCGGACTGCAGGCGTAGCGCTTTGATGTCGCTCAGAAGCTGAGCTCACCCAGGCTTGATTAGGCCTTCAGTTTGGAAGATTTATCTTGAAAGGAATGCCCGCTGTCATGGTCTCAACACTTTTTTGTCGATTGACTAGTTAGAAACTTGGGAAAACCAATAAGACTCCCATTGCATAGCATTTTGATCTAGTTACGTTTTTTTTATGAGCTCTTATACGAACTGTTCTGATGAAGCAAAGAAGCGATGCAGGTTTTATTCTTAGATGTCAGATCACTCCAGAATGAAGTAACAAAGCTTGAAATATTTAGTGCCTGATGCTGTCTCCTTTAAAAACCCGCAGCTGCTAAAACCTGAGATGGATCAACGTGCTTTGCAATATAAGTCATATAGTCTCCTCTGCAATCAGTGCAGTAGTTCTGATATTGCCAGGCATTGGTGCCAGGTACTGAAACGTGTTAAAGATTTTCTTAAAAATGACCTAGCATATCAAAAGCTCCATTTGGAAATAGACATTTTTGGTATGACATTTCCATCAGCTAGGGAAGAAAAAATGGGTAGATTTGATTATATCTGACAAAACTTATCAACACATTTCCGCTGAACAAATAAACTGTGAAGCGAGGCAGAGATCACCCACACCAAGCTCTGTCCCCCTGAGTAATTTGTGTGATATTGACTGCAGGTGAGCTATGTGGTTTGAAGAAGTGAATCTGGTCGAAGCCAGAGGTCAGAGGACGCTTGTTGATTTTTTTTTTCATTTCATTCTTCACTCTTGAGTGAGTTGCAGGTTTGAGGTGAAATAGAGGCTCCATATTGGCAAAAAGTGGCTAAATGAAATTGTGCACCATGCGACAAAATCAAACAAAATAGATCTTAGTGGTGCATTTTGTTGTAACAGTTTGGATGTGAGAGGGGGTCACGTAGGACCTAACTTCCATTTGTCCAGGCTTGATAGCTCTAAAATGTCCTTTTACCTCTTCTATCACTAACAAAGAAGAAACCCTCGCAACTCATTTAGACTCCAGTGTTTTCATTTAACCTTTGATGCTTTGACAGTTCTAGCATTTCTTCTGTGTTTGTGATGGCGACAAAGAGAAGGTAAACTCTTCATTTCCATTTGATGTATTTCTGCTTTTTTGGAGACGTGCATTTCTCTAGGGCATTATGACGAGTGAAAAAGACCGAAAAGCTGCTGTAAATTCTGCAGGGAGTGTGAGGGGCTTGTCACTGCTGGGGGCCTCTCATGGGGCTTGCAATGGAAAAACCCAAAGCCGCCGTCCCTCTCTGCTCGTAGATGTGCAAGACCGTAGAACTGCGGCATGCCTAGGGGTACAACTGTGGTCAGCCAGGGCTCTCTCTCGACGCATGCCTCTGATCTCTTCCTCTGTCCTCTCCCAGGCCACAGAATGGGTCCATGATACTGTACAACAGGAAGAAGGTGAAGTACAGGAAGGATGGCTACTGCTGGAAGAAGCGGAAAGATGGCAAGACGACGCGGGAGGATCACATGAAGCTGAAGGTGCAGGGAGTGGAGGTGAGCAGCAGCACAGGCCTGGGGGCCTGGGGGCCTGGGGGCCTGGGGGCCTGGGGGCCTGGGGGCCTGGGGGCCTGGGGGCCTGGGGGTGTGTCACACTGCTGCACCCCGGCGCAGCGCTGGCAAGGCCTGCTGAAGGCACGCTCGTTTCGCTCACAGTGTAGACAAGGATCGGCCCAGTTTGTCCTGTTGTAGGTTTAAGAAAAGTCTCGTTAAAATGAGCCTGCTTTTGTGGGTGAACCACAATCTGCATTCTCATCAAGGTGGGTTGGTCCATTATATCAGGCATATTTTAGTAATAAGGTGCGGCTTCACAAATATTACAAAATACGCACCCAAGGAAGAAAAGAGTGCATCATGTTGTTATCCTACAAAGGAGCCGCTGCAGGGATGAGCATTTGTACCTTATGAAAAGCACCGATTGGTTCCTTTGCCATCGAGAGCGCACATTAATCTTTTCCTCTGCCGAACGGATGTGCTGCAGTAGGTGTGAGTTGGGTGCATCACAGCTTAGACCAGAAGTTGCTTTAGCCAAAGTTGTGTAGTTGTTCTGTTTTCTTGATCTGTATCTGCATGAGCAAAAAGGAGGAATGACTCTAAGGTGCTTTTTTAAGGTGACTCTAAGGTGCTACTTTTGTTGGCTTTGCTCTCTAAGAAAAGGCCCCTGGAGTCTCACAGCACTGGGCACTGGAAACCTGTGTCAGATGACAGGATCAGTGCACACTTCATCCTCTGTCACTTAACTCCTGTCTGTGCTGATTTCACATCTGTTATTTAGTTAAAGCATTTTCCATTTGGTTTTGTTTTTTTGTTTCTGTAAGGGACATTAGTCTGCAGAATCAGGCTCAGAAACTAGATATCTGTTTCAGAGCAGTGCCATTCTGGATTCCCGAATAAAAGGTATTTTAATGTCTAATGTGACATATGGTTTATATGATAGCTTTCATTGTGAGAATTATGGATACAGACTCCCAGGCGTGTACCTATCAATCTGACTTGTGTTAGATCTGTTTGAGGAAGGTGTTCTTTTCTGGATGCATTAGAAAATTAAATGATTTAAAGACTGGATTTAGTTATGCATGATGAGTTTTAACTGTGTAGGTCCAAACCTGCTGCAGAAAGGGCCTCATTCCTACAGATATTATATTGAAGGTGACTGTATTCAGTGGCTAAGGGAAACACTAGTCCTGATGAATGAAGCAATTAAATGGTGGAATTAAATCACTGACTGGATGGGAGCCATTTGTCCCTGTAGCTCTTCTTCAGGGCTGGGCTAACCTTGCTCTCTGTGGCACATCCATACTGATTTGGGCAGATGAAATCATGCAGCCGCCTCCTGGACCTTTTATTTGTGCTGTACACTGGAAAGCTTTGCTTCTGGGCTAGATGAAGGTCCAGCACCGTTTTTTGCGTGTGCTTGCTTATTAATGCAGAAGCTGAACTAGTTATAATGAGTCAGAGTGGCGAGGCATGGACTCCTGAAAGAGCTCCTCCCGGCCAGTTATCATTGTTACCAGGTGGTGCTGTCTGGAGTGGTTTCTGCGATCTCTGGGCTGTGAGACCCTCCACCCTCTCCAGTCATGGGCTTCTGAGCTGAACAGTCACACTGGAGTCCCCACCTCCTTACCTGTTTGCAGCCACACAAAACCTGGTGCTTTGGCATTCTTCGAAATGTGTTTGCAGATCGCTTCCAAAGACAAAGTGGTAATTGCTATAGTAAGGTGAGGCAGCCACAGAAGTTTAAGAAAAGAAAGTGCCAAGAACAGGGGACGTACTGGGGAGACTATGAGGCACCAACACCCTGGTCTTGTGTTGAGGGAAACAGAACAGTGATTGTGGAAGGTCATTTTAGGCAGAGGGAATGGTTTGGGCATTTCACTGTGAAAACCACTGTAAGCCAGTGGTGTCGTAATGAATTGTTTGAAATAGAAGTAGATCGCTGTATAATTGTTATTGCTGCTAGCTTTGAGATCCCTGCATTACTGTACTAGCTCTGAATAATAAGTCTCTGTTCCCTCTCTCCTCTGGATCTCTTTATAGAAACCTAAAGCAAAACAGCCAGCCGGAAATCATTCCTCATCAGTGTTGCCATGCGATACACACTAATTCTTGGGTTAGTCCGCTATGTCTTTACAGCCAGAGCCCTGAGATTGTTACCACGGAGAGGCTGGCCTTGGGGATGAGTGTTTCACGCGGCGCATACAGTAGTTCAGAGGACTCCAGCACGAGTACAGAAATGCCCGATGGGGAGTCGGGGGGTTCAGCATGCAGCGGCTGGCCTGGCCGTGGCTGTCATGTCATGTGTGTGGAGCGCTGGCTCAGCAATCCGTGGAAACGGTGGCTTCTTTTTCCCCAAGGTCCACTTGAACGAGCAGTCCTCACCCCCACCCCCTGCACCCTTCCCTCTCCCATCCAAAGCTCCGGTAAACCTTGATCGGTGCAGTAATGCTCCCTGTTCCCTAAAATTGGAACACAAGCCTTGTTACAGCATTAGCGATTAACAGGCCGTGAAATAGCCGGCTGCCTGCCTGACATCTCGCCATCATCGTGGGCAAGTGGGGCAGGCGGGTAGATAAATGAGCGCCCCCCCCCCCCGCACATTTAACCAGGGGACACCTGGGAGGGTCACCTGCGTCAGAGCTCCCCCCAGCCTGAGCTGTGTGCTGCTAGTGTGCCGCCCGACTTTCCCAATCATAATAATTGCTTACACTTATACAGCGCTTTTCTGGACACTCCACTCAAAGAGCTTTACAGGTAATGGGGGCTCCCCTCCACCACCACCAGTGTGCAGCCCCACCTGGATGATGCGACGGCAGCCGTAATGCGCCAGTCCGCTCCCCACACACCAGCTCTCAGTGGAGAGGAGAGCAGAGTGATGAAGCCAATTCATAGTTGGGGATTATTAGGAGGCCATGACTGGTAAGGGCCAATGTCCTGACAATCCGGCCACTTGCTAGCTAAGCTGCGGGCTGGGGCTGTGTGTGTGTGCGTGCGTGCGTGCGTGCGTGCGTGTGTGTGTGTGGTTGTGCAGCATGCACACCACGACTTTGCAAGGGGAATGGTGTAGGGACAAAATAATAAAATAGCAAAACACATAACCGTTCACAATGGATTTGACAGGACATAAGCTCTCCCTTGGCCTTAATAATAGCCGTAATCATTAAGGATGTGCTATCTGCCAGCCTTTCCATAAAAGGTTGAAAGAATACTGTGCCCTTCTCCCTGCAGCTCAATTTGTGCTGAAGATTTGGTTTGTTTTTTTTTGTAAACCTTTTTTGTTGTTGTTGTTGTTGTTGCTGGAATATTTAGCAGTGGATGGTATATAACAAAATTGAACACATGATGCTTCTATCAAATGGAATTTTAACAAAAGTGTTAATAGAAAATTAGGAGGAGGGGTGGGTCTCGCACACTTGCGCTCGCCTGAGTATATACGTCTCGCACCCGGGACTTCCCATAGTGCATCTCTCCTTTACCCCTCTCACCTCTCTTCTCCGCCACTACAACGGCTCCCGGGATCAGTATTCGCAATACAGAGGGGGGGTCTGGGTAACCTCACCCTACGCCAGCTATACTCTGCATAACCCGTCTCTCCGCAATTATAAGGATTTAACCAAATTACTGAAGCTCCAGTTAGAATACTATGTACTGTATTCTGCACTTCCAAAAACACAGTAAAAGGATCCTCAGATTAAGGTCTGATGAAATTGTAAAGTAGGTTAAAGAACTACTGTTTATCTCCTCATGCTTTATGTTTTCACTTACAAAAACCTTGGTAAAAAAACACATTAAATACATACAGTAGGAATTATACACTAAATATATGAGGAATTCCTCATACTGTATACAGTATTTGCTCCTCATACTGTATATACAAATTCCTCATATATTTGTACCTCTAGTGTAGCTCTAGAACAATATGAGGTACTGTAGAAGGATTGATTGAACTTTATAATATTCCATACAGGAAAGACAGGAATGTCTTCCCAAGCTGTATAGGCAGCAGGAGTGGGGAGCAGAAACGGAATCTTGCTTTAGGCATTCCGAAAATTCCTGGACACTGCTCTGTACCTGGGGGCTCCTCTTGCGCCTGGTGATCCTTTAGTGAAATCAAGGGGAAAGCGGGGTGGTTTAAACCCGAGCTTCAAAAGTTCTAGCCGCTCAGAGGTCGGCACGGGGCTGGTCTTCCTCTCCGGGCTGGTCTGGGATCTGCATCACGTTTCCCAGAGTGCCGTTAATTGGGTTTTAATGCGTGTTTTGTTTTTGCACTCCCCCCCCCTCCCATTCCATCATTATTACTAAACTTTAATAAACTCCCTAAACACGTATTGATTTCTGTTAAGTGAAGATGGCAGAGCCTGCGAGATATTTCATTACGGGAGATAATTATACAGATTGAAATAAGCTTTCTTATTTAGAGTTTTTTTTTTGCCCTCCCTGTGCTGAAGCTTGCTTTTGGTTTGTGTTTTTTTTTTTTCAATAATTAGGCATCCTTCCACAGTTTTAACATTTTATTTCATTTGGAATCTGCCTAATGTGTTATTTCAGGAGTTCAGCTGTGCACTGAAAGAACTTAATGGAGCGTGTAAAAATGTGCTGCCATTCTTTCTCAATGATAATAATGAAGACAGATGTTGAAACGTTTAGTCATAGTAAAGCAACAATAGTCATGGCCATTGATGGGAATCTGTGATAGGCGTTGTCTGTTGATGAATCAGTTCAAAATTAGATTGTAGTGCAACACCAAAGATAATAATTTGTGATTTGTGAACTGAAGAACACTGTAGTTCTTCAGTTAAAAAAGTGAAGCTTTTAAGTGATAGAAAAATATTTACATTATTGTAATACATGTTCAGACGTAAATAATACTTGCTTTACTAATAATAAGTATGGTGATGATGATGATGATACTGTTTAAGAGTTGTTTTCAATAATTCAACGCATTGTTTAATAGCACATACATAATTAATGAAAGACAAATAAATATAAATAGAAAAAAA